CTGCTGCCTCGTGGAATGTCGGTACCAGAGCTTTCCCAGAAACCAGAAATCCATCCATTTGGCAGGAAAACTGAAAAATCACCAGTGTTTTAAAATAACACTGGCCTGTGAACTCAATGCAGGAACCTAAAGTTGGATGTTAATCCAGACAGAGTTAACAATTTACTATGTAAACTTCAGCAAATCTGTCACACTGGCTATATATCTCTCTTCATATCATACCAGTCTATTCCACTGAGATTGTATGGGAAATAGCTAATGATGATAAAGTATAACCTACTGTGAGAATGTGAAAATACATTGCATCTTAGAACCTTGAATATCTTAATATTAAAACAATCATTAATTTTAACAACACAGAGACTTGTTCCATTTGCTAGCATTACAGTATCAAAGAATCTAGTCAATTTGGTTGCAGTGGCTCACGTACGTGATCCTAGCTACTCAGGAGACTTTGACCTGGAAGACTGTAGTTTGAAGCGAGCCCTAATTAACCAGCAACATTCATTTGGGACTGGAGATGTGGCACAAGTCGTAGAGCCCCAGCTTTGAGTGAAAAAGCCAACTACAGCTGAAGCCCTGAATTTAAGACCCACTACTAGAAGGAAAAAAATAAAAAAGCTAATTCTGGCTGTAACCAGGATCCTTGTGACAAATTAAAGGAATCTGAAAGCTGAAGAATGCATAAAAAACAGGAACTCATGGATACCACTTATGGCACAAACCAATGCACTCATTTCTTTTGTTTGGCAAGCTTATTTAGTGATTAAAGTGTGGTCTGAAACTTGGGTTTTCAAACATGAGCAGATGCTCTATGTACTTAAAAACTACTGTAAAAATAAAACTTCTACATGTTATAATAAAGAAGGGCATTGGGTTTCTCTTGGTTCACTTACATTTTAAACATGGAAATAGGCTTAGATCTGAGGATCGCGGTTCAAAGGCTGCCCAGGCAAGAAAGTCTATGAGACTCTTCAATTAACCACTCAGACAACTGGAAATGGCACTGTGGCTCAAGTGGTAGAGCGCTAGCCTTGAGCTGAAGAGCTGAGGGACAGTGCCCAGGCCTAGAGTTTAAGCCCCAAGACTGGAAAAAAAAAAAATCAGGATGAAAATACCAAACCCCCACTTCTGTGGGGAATAGGTAAGTTTCTGGCTTTAAAGTACTCCATCCACTGCCTGGCATATACATAACTCAATAAAAAAGTTTTGTTTTGTACAGCCTCACAAATGTAGCTCTCCATTTTCTCCTTCACAAATTTGGGTGTGTCAGCTCCACCCTTAGTGCTGATACAAGGCCCAGTACACCTGTGTGCTTTTACCGTCCTCTTCTGCTCTTCATCACTCTTCCACCTCCTCTTTAGATATCTGCGTACTCAGGTAATCTTTGCTAGTTAGAGGTGTGCAAATGAGGGTGAGCGTCTGTCCACAGTGCTGGATAAGAGAATGGTGATCAGTTAGTACTTCACCAACTGTAGGCAACAAAGTGATTTCTGAGACAGACAATCACCAGTTCTTAATTTTGCCAAGGTCACTGAAATAGGTTCTCTCAACTGCTACCAAAATAATTAAAGTCCATCCAGTAAGTTGCTAAACATCTAGAGTCTATTTGAGGGGGTTACTAAATCAAGAGGGGACAGAAGGAAGCATGGTATAAGACAATGACAAGACTACGGCTTGGAAAAGAGCATTTTGGACTGCAACAAACAAAAAAAAATGTAAGTTAGCAGACCACACAGATTGTTTCAGGGAGTAGAAACCACATGTGTCCTGTCTAAAGTGGACAATCACTCAGCTCTGGCTGAGCGCCTTCTAGACAAATTCCTGGCTTCATGTTGACAGCTCATCTCATTGGTTTTCTTTTTTGAGAAGCAGGAAATACGGATTTTTAAATGAAATTCCCCTATTATTTAAATACTACCAACTAATTTTTATTTTTGTTTTTAGATCATGGTGCTGGCCAAACAAAATATTCCTCTGGGTCACGATCAGCACAGCAGCTGGGAAGCTCTGATGGAATGTGAGGGAAAAAAGCTAAGGATAATAAAGGAAATGGCTCAGATTAGAATGGAGCCTTAGGAGAATGAAGAGCAGCATTAGGGAAAGAGAATTTCAAGGAGGAGCCAGTCACCAGTGTTAATGCAGCAGAGATTTCTGAGCTCTCTCCTATTTGGGGGAGGCCATGTGATTAATTTCAGGTAATGAAATAAAAGGGGGGGGCTGATTTGCTGGCATGAGTCCTTCCAGAATCTCTCCTAGGATAGTTTATGAATGTGACAACTGCCAATAACTTGGGTCCTAAGAGTAGCAGCCCAAACTTCAAAATACCAGTCTCCAATTGCTCCACTGCCTTGCACACAAATGTTTATTGCCATATTCATAAATCTTAAGACTAACCATAGAATTTATTTACCTAAATAACCTTCATTATCCTGAAACACCCTAAGCTTCTATATTAGTTACATAGTTATTCCTTTATAATCTCCCTCTACTGTGGGCATAATGCTAGGTTAATGTTGATTCAAATTCCCTTCAATGGGAGAATCTGTATTATACTCAATTACAGATGAGACAAAATAAAGAGTGCATACAATTCTAAAGCATAGTAAGTTTTATCTATTTCTAAGTTCTAAAATAGTTAAAGAATGACAATTTAAACAAATGTTGGTATAATCTATCCATTATTTATTCTTATTTGGCAAACATCAGGTGATAGGAGCAAAGGTACATTGCTCACTATAGTTACACAATCATTTATGCTTTATACAAGTTGTAAACATATTTAAGTGGATAATTCTGAGTGGAAAACACATTCATTTTGATATATACTCTTCCAAGTTAGGACAAAAGAAAGCTCAAGTAATTTCTATTATGTCGTCATCATCATACAACAAACTAAATTAGTATATGTTGTTTTGATATTAAGCGTTGCCATGTTTTTTAAAGGCTTTTTTTAGGTATGGCTAAAAAGATCTTTATCTGAAATAACATTAAAGAACAGAAGTTGACCAAATTAAGTTTTGCTCACACTTGTTACTGGACATTATAAAAAAGATAAAAATTATAAGTCTTCTTGTCAAAACACCAACAAAAACACCACCAAGTTAATTTTAAATAATCAACAAGTTATGTGATGGAGATAGAATTTACAATAATTAGCTCTCATAGCATTTGCTTTAGTACAACTTAATGCTGATATATTAAAAGTAACAGATGACACTTCAGTGTAAATCCAAATCGTTTAAGTATTTTACAATTTTATTCTTTTATAAATTTTAAACTTTCCTGAAATTCCAATCACTGTTTACAAAACAGGCAGCCTTTAAAATACACTGTTTAGCAGGTAGAATGGATTTGAATTTGCAGCAATGGAATCCCTTCAGGAAAGACTTACTTGACCACAGTCTCCACATATCAGCTTCTCACACTAATACCTGCTCAGCATCAGACTGACTATAAACCCCACATTCATTCATAAAAATTACACATGGGAGGTGGGCGCCAGTAGCTCACGCCTGTAATCCTAGCTACTCAAGAGGCTGATACGTGAAGATCAAGGTTAAGAGCCCAGATAGGAAATGCCATGAGACTCATATCTCCAATTAACCACCAGAAAACTGAAAGTAGTGCTGTGGCTCAAGTGGTAGAATGCTCTTCTTGAGCTGAAGAGCTCAGTGACAGCATCCAGGCCTAACGTTCAAGCCCCGTGATTGACCCCCCCCCCCCAAAAAAAAAATTACACATGGAGCACAAATTCAAAACTTGACAAAATCTTACAAGTTGTACTTCTCACTCGGGGAAAAAACAAATCAACCCAAAAGTTCTCCTTCTCATAATATTTCTCTACATAAAAAGTTTTCATATATGTATATATTAGAAATAATACTGTTATGAGTGATCTGAAATCTGAGCTAGACAAATTCTTCACAGAAAACTACTGTATATTGATTTTACTATACAACTCTTCACTCTCAAATAGTTGCTTTCAACTTTACCCATGTAAAAGTAACCTAAAAATTCTCAAATGTTTGAGTGGGAAAAAAAGTGACGATTATATAATAAAAAAAAAAATAAGTAATCAATACTCCCTTCTAAATTCCTAGAGAGTGAGAAAAATGGAAAAAAATCTTGTTAAAAAGCTGAAAATAGAATAAACATTAGAACTGAACATGAGCTTCACCCCTTTTATACTGCTAACTCCTCAAGTTGCCCAAGGTAAGAGAATATTTCCACAAAATGTTCTTTGGGAGAAAAGGAAAGCAAAGCATCTGACTGGTGGTGGTAAGGATGCACCAGCAAACCAAAACCTCCAGCTGGAAGAGAAGCAAGAAATGATACTACTAATGCTAATCCAAAGTCTACGAAACAATAAGAATAACAAAGGCATTAGAAAGACAGTTATCCTTTAGGTCTTTTTCAAAGATACACAAAAATGAAAGGTAAATCTCTGGTACTACAGAGGCTTAAATCTGAGAGCAAACATATAGTTTACCCGTGACATCTCATCTCTATAAATTTAACAACTGATTCATAACTATATAGTATTTAAAAATTCTTTTTTTCTTTTTTCCCAGTCCCGGGCCCTGAACTCTGGGCCTGGGGACTGTCTCTGAGCTTCTTTTGCTCAAGACTAGCACTCTACCACTTGAGCCAAGTGCCACTTCCGTCTTTTTCTGTGTACGTGGTACTGAGGAATCAAACCCAGGGCTTCATGCATGTAAGGCAAGCACTCAGCCACTAAGACACATTCCCAGTCCTTAAAAATTCTTAATTACTAAAGCAAGCTTCTTCATTGCACTTTGAATAGCTAAATAAAAAGCATCACCCCATGAATCCCAGCTGCACCAAAGTTACTGCCAGTCCTGAGGCTTGAATTCAGGGTCAACGTGCTGTCCCTGAGCTTCTTTTGCTCAAGGCTAGAGCTCTACCACTTGAGCCACAGCACCACTTCCAGTGTGCTCTGAGTAGTTTATGAGATGAGTCTCAGAGACTTTCCTGCCCAGACTGGCTCTGAACTGCAACCCTCAGATCTCAGCCTCCTGAGATTACAATTACAGGTGTGAGCCATTGACACTCAGCAATAACATCCACTTTCTGAGCCCCAATTACATCTGCTATCATCAAACTACATCACAGCAATGACAGAGACTGAGTCATTTTACTTCTTTGAGGAAAATTACATTGAAATGATTACTTAGGAAAATTTTAGTAGTGGAGACAAAATTTAAAACATAATTTATTCCTAAAAAGAATAGAATGTCCAAGATGCTTATAAATAAAAGTATCACAGAACAGGTACCATCTTAGTCAACAAAGGATGCTCTCAATTTTAGACTTACGAAATTGCAAATATACCACTAAGTGGACACTGGTAAAAATATATTTCTAAATGCCTGTCAGTAAACTTACTTTTAAAACTGACTTAAGGTAGTTGTGTTTTCAGTAGCACTGACAACAATCTAGCACTTGATAGGAATATCAGATCAGCACACAAATACTTGTATAACACTACAAACTAGTTGCAATTTTGAGTAGCTGTGTTCACCAACTGTGCAACAGAATTATAATGTTCTCCTAAGCCGTATGCATGCCTCATATATCTGAAATGAAAAAAAAGAAGGAATGAGTAGTTTCATGATGAAAATATTTTGGTGTATCTAAATGCTTATTAGGAATATAAAACCAAGCATTCCAAATGCCAGTCCCTAGAGGTGTCCCTCAGTAGACGGCATGAACTTTTTAAGAGTTCAATGCCATTTGGCAAGTATCAGACCTGGAGGGGTTCAACCACTGGCGATAAAATGGAAAGGTTCAGATACTAAATTGAAGTAGAAATAGCTAATAAACACTAAAAACATCAAATACTCCATGCTGTATTCCAGAAGCCCTTTCTCAATCATACCAAATACTTCTACAATATAAAGAAGATATCGCATCTGAATATGCTACAGCTTTTATACTTGCTGAAACTGTTAGGCCTATCACTAGCAAACCAAGGCAATACAAACTAATCCTGAAACTTTTCATCATTTTGAATTGACTTAAAATTACTCTTATCTCATACACAAAAATCAGGTACTAGAGTTGCCTTTAAGACAAGATAAACAGAATAGACTCAGCTCAAGATAGTTGTTTGATTAACTGATATACACAGCCTAAAGTAATTTTTTTAGATTCCTTTCTTGTCTTAATTATGAAAAATAGATCTGTAAGAATTTTCATACACAAAAGCAAAAATACTTACACAAGTATTAGTGGTTTTTTTGGATACTCTTCACCCACTACAATAGGAGGAGAATCTGCCTGTATTATCTCTATTGGTGTTTTTAAAATGTGAGACAGAGCTCTTAGCTACAAGGAGACAAAAAAGATGCATTAGTAAGAAAAATAAAATGGTGAATCTTATTCAGATCACTAACTACTAAAGTACATTCATATTAAACATGGCAACCAGTCACAGCAAAGATGTGCTCTATTCATAACTATGCCAAAATCCTGGACTTTAGAAATTTGTCAAGTTTAGATATACAATGGCTTTGTAAAAATGCAACAGGGATAAAACAATTTGTTTAAATGGGGATACAGGTTGACCCATTGCAACAATGAGATGTACAAGACACTATGTCAAAAAACGAACTTTACAATTTAGGCGGGGGGGGGGGGGGGGGGGGGAGAGTGTAGTTGAAGAGGAGGGAGGGAAGGGATGGTAGGGGAAAAACAAAGGAGGCAACAATGCTTGATAAGAAATGTACTCATTACGTTGCTCATGTAACTGTAACCCCTCTGGTACAGTATTTTCACAAAAAAATGCAACATCCAAGTTAATTAAGTGGAGGTGGAAAATTTTCATAATAAAAGTATTTTTTAAATACCACTAGTTAAGCTCAATACCCAATCAGCCACAACGGGGGGCCAGGACAACACAGGAAGTTTATTTTTCTTCTGTTGTTCTAGTTCTGGGGCTTGAATTCAGCCTCAACCTATCATTCAGCATTTCTGCTCATAGCTGGTGCTCTACCACTTGAATTATACCTGTGTGACATTTTGCTGGTTAAAGCTAAGACTCTCAGATTTGTCTTGCCTGGGCTGGCTTCAAACCGTATCTTCGGACCTCAGCTTTCTCAATAGATACCATTATAGACAAGAGCCACCCGCACCCAGCAGGAAGTTTATGTTTTTAAGATCTTTTCAGATGATGTTAATGTAAAAATAGCAGAGAACCACCGTTCTATACTTGTCAAGGCAAGAGTAGAATGAGATATGTGTACAAACTGTTCACAATGAAATCTGTCTGATTAACATATTACATAATTTGAATTTCTTAACTACAATAAATACTTGAAGGCCCAGTGGCATGGTTCAAGTGGTAGAGTACTTGACTAGCAGGCCTAAGAAGCCCTAGGACTGCTCAACAACAATAATAACTTGGAGGTTAAAGCCTGATGAATAATAGTCACTAATGAAATTAATACTAATGTTTTGTCAACATACTATGACCAAGAACTCTATGTACTTACATACATTTTTTTTTTTCAGTAGTGGGGCCTTAACTCTGGGCCTGGGTACTGTCCCTCAGCTATTCAGCTCAAGGCTAGCACTCTACTATTTGAGTCACAGCACCACTTCTGGCTTTTTCTGCTTATGTGGTGCTGAGGAATCAGACCCAGGGCCTCATACATGCAAGGCAAGCACTTTACCACTGAGCCACCTTCCCAGCCCCACTTACATACATTATTATTTGTATGAACTCATTCAATCCTCACAGTAACTTTATGGGACAGACACAAGCAGTATTTTAATGACACTGAATATGAGGCAGAAAAAGATTAAATGACCTGTCAAAGTCAAACATGAAGAAATTAAATAATCTGTGCTGATTTGAGGAACTTAGAAACTCTAGGGCATTAAGTTCATTAAATAATAATAACAACAATAAGAATAACAATAACAACCATTAGCAGCCTTGAATCAACCTTCTATGCATTTATCTAATCTCTACATTTTCTGTATTACCCAGCACATCAAAAGCTGGGCACTGGTGACTCATGCCTGTAATCCTAGGTACTCAGGAGGAAGTCTGCAATCTGAAGACCAAGATTCCAAGCCAGCCCTGGTAAAATGTGAGATTCTTATGTCCAATTAGCCATCAAAAAGACAGAGTAGAAATGTGGCTCAAGTGGTAGAGCAACATCTAGAGTTTAATAAATCCAGTAAAATGTGAGGCCCTGAATTCAAGCTACTGGCATTAAAAAAAAAAAAAAATCCATCAAGAACATAGTCCTTTTAGAAGCTTGTGGAAGAATGTAAAAAGTGAGAGAATACAGAAAGGATCCTTTGTTGCATGGTAACAAATATAATCCCATACTCTGTGCTTTTAAAGTTTCCTTTGAAATACATTTTTCTTATATCTAGAAGAACACTTTTTTTTTTTTTGGTCAGTCATGGGGGCTGAACTCTGGGCCTGGGTGCTGTCCCTCAGCTCTTCAGCTAAAGGCTAGCACCCTACCACTTGAGCCACAACACCACTTTCAGCTTTTTTCTGCTTATATGGTGCTGAGGAATCAAACCCAGGGCGTCAGGCATGCAAGGCAAGCACTCTACCACTGAGCCAACTTCCCTGCCCTAGAAGAATATTTTTTAACACTAAGAATGGAAGGTATAAAAAAGCAAGGTCTAGAAATCCTAATGTCCCTTCTAACTTTAGAAATCAGTTAATAGAGATTTTATTTAATTTTGATTAATAATGTAAGTTTATCCTAGTGTGAAAATAACAACTTTTATTTCCAATGAATTCAGACAGATCCTGAGTAAATGTCTTCAAAAGATGTGCTAGAAAGACTTTCTGAGTTTACACTGTTAAGTCTCCAGTATTCTTATTAGTTTGTGATCCTTTTAAAAAACTCAAGTCTTTTAACCTAATGTGCCTCTAAGTTATTATGAAAATCTCCTGAGTTTCCAAAAGCACAAAAACACACAAAACTAATGGACACAGCTCCCTCTAGTGGAGAGGTACAACTATAACACTGCTAAGAAAAAGATTTTGAACATATCTTAAAACACAGATGCCACAGAAGATTCAAGATGACTAATTAACATTACACAGGAATATTTAATAACATGGTTAGAATTCTACATTTAGCACTTTAGCTTATAAACTTTTACGAATTTACTCTGCTTTATACAATGTTCACATATGATTGGTTAAGCCCAAATAAGTGTGTGATTATCCTCATTCAATAATTAAGAAACTCAAGCTCAAGAATTTGGCTAACTTCTCCAAGGTCCCAAAACTGAGAAGTTCAAGGAAAAATCAGAACTTGAACTTGACTTCTCATCACCTGTTTTTCTAATATCCAGATTGCTCACCACCACTGGGTCCACCTAGATATTTTGTTAACAGTGAGAGTTGTTTAATTACAGCTAAAAAATAATCTTGGGAATGCTTGCCTAGCAAGCATGAGGTCCTGAGTTCAAATCCCAGTAATTCCCTAAAAAAGAAGGGACCAAAAAAAAAAAACCACATAGTTTTGGGGCAAGGCAAGGTAGTTCATACCTGTAATCAAAGCTATTAGATAGGCAGATGTCAGGAGGATTGTGTTCTAGGCCAGCCTGGGCAAAAAATGTTTACTAAAGCAAAATAGGCTAACAGTATGGGCTCATATTGTAGACAAGTACAACGCCCAGAGTTCAACCCCAATACTGCCACTAACAACAACAAAAATCTTACTAAAACTCCCTCCAAGTGACTTCAAGTGACCCAAATGACATTCTCATGTGAATTTCAAGGTATCAACTAACTGCTTTCAGGTAAGTCACTATTAACTAGGAAACTGCCTAAGATTTAATACAGTTGTGTAAGACTGACCTGCATTTCACATGAAAATAACATTTTCTATTTCTTCTTGTTACTGAGACAGCCCAGGCTGTCCTCAATCTCCTGATCCTCCTGCTCAGGCTTCTTCAGTGCTGGGATTCCAGCTATGTACCATCATGCCCAGCTCACTTTCTACTTCCAAGGTAAAGAAGTTGCTTTCCCCACAGCGATTTTTCATCAGCCACTTATCTAGAGTCAAATCTTCTTTTGTTGTTGTTTCCTTTTCTTTTTTGACAGGTTCTGTAGCTCAGGCTAATCATCCTGCCTCAGCCTCTCAATCGCTGGTTTCAGACACATAACACTATATTCATCAAGTCATTTCTCTTAAAACAGAAGACTGAATATATATATCAGCAGCAGTGTCACACATAAAAACTTATACAATAGGCCCAGAGTTCAAGCCCCATGATCGACAAAAAAAAAAACTTAAGCAAGCTTCTCAAACACAGAAATCTAACACTGAGCTATTTAAAATTAAATAGTGCTTCACTTATTCAAGGTGCATACTTTAATTGAAAGCATAAGAATATTAACAATCTCTTTAGTCAGCAAAGAAATGGCGATAGTGGTCAGGCACCTGTGGCTCATGCCTATAATCCTAGCTATTCAGGACGCTGAGATCTGAGGATCACAAAGCCAGCCGGGACAGGAAACTCCCTGGGACTCTTATCTCCAATTAACTACCAAAAAACCAGAAGTGGCACTGTGGCTCAAGTGGTAGAGCATTTGCTTTGAGCTGAGGAATTCAGGGACAGTGCCCAGGCCCAGAGTTCAAGCCCCATGACTGACCAAAAAAAAGGCAATAGTGGCTGGGAAAGTGACTTAGTGGTAGAGTGCTTGCTTCACATGCATGAAGCCTTAGGTTCAATTCTTCAGTACCACATAAACAGAAAAAGCCGGAAGTGGTGCTGTGGCTCAAGTGGTGGAATGATAATCTTGAGCAAAAGAAGCTTAGGGACAGTGCTCAGGCCCTGAGTTCAAGCCCCAGGACTGGCAAAAAAAAAAGAAATGGCAATTGTAAAAGGACAAAAAAATCTTCCAGGAGAAATTAATATCAACTGAAAACTGTCTAAAACTACAAAAGAGATTCAGAAATAATTTAACAACCTACAATCACTATGAATAATTACACACTTACCTCAAGCTGACCTCCCCATGCAGCTGTGTTTACAATATCATCACAGTACTTTCCAAACTCTTCTGCAGAGAACACATCACAACATAGCACTTAATAATTGTCTTAACTCGTGTCAAAAGATCCCTTTTATAGCTCCCAGGATGCCTGATAAAAATGCCCCAAGTCATGAACATCTCCCTTCCCTATCACCTGCCTCTACAAGTTAATCCATTTCCCAGATTCACACTTAATTCACTCCAACTTTCCAACACCTTTCCATCCAAAAGGAAAGCAATGCATTCCTGTCTTCCTCCTTCAGAAGCTGTGGCCTGGAAAGTACACAACAAGACTATTTCTCTATTCCCACCCAATACACTAACTCTCAAAACTGCCACCACAGTTATTATCTTGACATGTGTTCTAAAGCCCAGACTCTGTCCAAAAAATACCACAGAAGACTAATGTGTAGACTTTACACAATCAGGCTTACTGCAAAACCCTATGAGAAATATACGAAAATAATTTAGGTAAAGTACAAATGAGTTTAAATTCTCATCAGACATCATTAAAGAGCACCTCCTTGTTATTTCAGAAGCACTTATGTTACTTGCTTCAATATCATTCTTAGTGAAGGAAAGGAATCTTGCAATCAGTCCTAGGAGAAGTAAAAGCCCTAAACTGAGTTTCCAAAGACCTATCTGCTCATCTATCTTTTTATTCACTGTGTTAAAATGGGCCACAGATATATTCTCTACACAAAACAGAAGAGAGAGGCTGGGAAGGTGGCTCAGAGGTAGAGCGCTTGCCTTGCATACATGAGGCCCTGGGTTCTATTCCTCAGCACCACATAAGACAAAAGAAAAAAGTCGGAAGTGGTACTGTGGCTCAAGTGGTAGAGCGCTAGCCTTGAACTGAAGAGCTAAGGGACAGCGCCCAGGCCCAGAGTTCAGGCCCCACGACCAGACCCAAAAAAAAAAAAAACCAGAAGAGAATGTGTGATGAACTATGTGATGAACTAGAGGGAAAATAAGGTGCTTGTGTTTGACTCATTCACCACTCCTCAGTGTGTTTGACTCATTCACCACTCCTCAGTGTTGAGACCAGGGCCTAGAACTACACCTGCACACAATGATCTTCACTAAACAGCGAATGAAAGAATGAATAATTAAGTCTTTTGTCTTTTTTTCTGACTTCAAATCATGTCAGAAATATTCTACCCTAGTTCAGGAGTTTCAACTGAAGAGTCATTTCTTATGTTTCTTCTACAAAATACATGGAAAATGTGTTTCACATCCTAGAGCAAATTCTCATCATTTAGAAAATAGTGACCTAAAACACTAAGAAATATGTAACATTTCAAATACAACACTCATAAGAAGTCAGTGGGCAATAGAATTAGGTATCTCTATAATCCTATTTCCTAACAGGTCCTTAGAGCTAAAGACCTCATCAGTTGCTACTGCTCATTCTTCTGCATTCTGTCAGGTTCCACCCTGTTCACCCTCTTCTGCAGGAAACACATTCCAAGAAAGGAAAGTCAACCTTAACTGTTCTTTCTCCAGCACTCACCCTGGCCACATGACTTGCTCCAATCAACACTACCAAACCTGCCATCTTCCTCAAAGACTCATCCCTTCCATTCTCCCTCATTTGTACACTTGTGTGCTTCACTCTATCTATTTTATCTTTAACAACCAAAAATATGATAGAGAATAAGGCAGGTCATTAAACATCAAATCAAAATTTACTTGAATAGAAATTTCTAATTATAGCTTATTGAAAATAACGTTAAATTTTGCAATGAATAGAAGAAACTAATAATCATTCTCTGTTCATATTCTTAAAACTTTATGTGTTTATGTATATATTAATTTATAGAAAACAATTCTGTCCAATTTTCTTTTGATTCTTTCTCTTCCTCAAGGGCTCTATGGGTTATGTCCTATCACCGGAGACATATATTTAAAAACAACCATTAACTACAGATCAATAGAGAGAGGAAGGGCAGGAAAATACAATCATTTGTATTCAATATACGTATGTAAAAATGGTAATATATAACTTGAAGGTGCAGATGAGATTAAGAAAGATGGGCAAAGAACAGTATAAGGGTTGACATTGATCAAGATGTGTTGTATTCATAATCAAGTGAAATCCCTTTGTACAACTACTTCAAATAAAATTTAAATTTAAATTTAAAAAAAAAACAAAAACAACTAATCAACTAACCAACCATAGAGAAAACGTAAATAACCTGGTGTATACATGTCTCCTGTATTGGGGTTTGTTAAAAATGGCAAGAAGTCGTCCCCGTGGCTCTGCATGTACTCAGCAGTTTGACTTCTCAGCTTAGCCACAGTCAGGGTGCAGTCCTGTGATTTCAGCTGGTCCTCGATGGCTCTGTACATACAGTGGCCATCAGACGGAATCTGCTTCATTTCCAGCTCCCTGGCTGCCAGTATTTCAGTAAGTTTCTCATTTTCCACATGTCTAGCGCCAGATAAGTTCTCAATTTCAGCTTCGGCTATCCTCTCTTCCCGTTCCTTTTCCAATGCAGCTTTTTTTTCCTAAGATGAGAATGCAGAAAGAGTAATTTCTTAATAATTTGAAGCAATTCTACTTTATTAAAGGGATGGAGATGTTAAGACTCTAAAACCTTGTTTCCATTTTCCCCCTTACCCCAAAGCACTATCAGATTTATCTAATCACTTGTAGAATTCTTTATACAGTAAAGTTCTTTAAGAGATGTGTGTTCCCAATACTAACTATAAACTGAGATATAGAAAGCTTTTCTTGCAGCTGGGCATGCTGACACATGCCTATAATCCCACACCTCAGGAGGCATTATTTGGGCTCCGTAAGTGTTCCAGATCTGTTTAAGAAACATAGTTAAAACTCAGTCTCAAAAAAGATGAAAGGAGGGCTGGGAAGGTGGCTCAGTGGTAGAGCACTTGCCTTGCATGCATGAGGCCCTGGGTTCGATTCCTCAGCACCACATAAGCAGAAAAAAAAAAGCCAGAAGTGGTGCTGTGGCTCAAGTGGTAGAGCGCTAGCCTTGAGCTGAAGAGCTGAGGGACAGCGCCCAGGCCCCGAGTTCAGGCCCCACTACCGGACCCCAAAAGAAAAAAGGAAGGAAGGAAGGAAGAAAGGAAGGAAGGGAGAGAGGGAAGGAGGGAGGGAAGGGAAGAGAAGGGAAAGAGAAAAAAGGGAAAGAAAGAAGAAAAGAGAAAGGACTTTTTTTATGAAGTCAGTCTATCAGAGAGGGAGGGGGAGAGAAAGAAAGAGAAAGAGGGAGAGAAAGAGGAAGAAAAACAAAAGGAAGGAGTTTTTTTGTTTTTCTTGCCAGGGCTGGTGCTTGAACTCAGGGCCTGGGCACTGTCCTTGGGCCTCTCTGTGCTCAAGGCTAGCACTCTACCACTTCAGCCACAATGCCACTTCCGGTTTCACAGGGACTTTTCTGCCCTGGCTGGCTTCAAACTACAATCCTCAGATCTCAGCCTCCTGAGTAGCTAGGATCTACTGGCACCCAGCTTATATATTTTTTAAGACAGAGTTTTGCTATGCAGCCCAACATGGCCTTGAAGTTGCCATCCTTATGAGCCAAGTGCTAAGATTACAAGTATGTACCACCAGGCCCAGCCTTATAAAACCTATTTAAAGATAACAAGGTTCTAAAATTTTACTTGCTGATTTTAAGAGTTGTCCTAGGTCTTTTTTTTTTTCGGTCGGTCATGGGGCTTGAACTCTGGGCTTGAGTGCTGTCCCTCAGCTCTTCAGCTCAAGGCGAGCACTCTACCGGAGTTGTCCTAGGTCTATAAACACATTACACAATTAAGCTCAGGCCAATGTTAGCTTCTTGTCATTCTAATCACAAAGGAGTTTTTAGAGGGGCACAGGCAAACATTTCAGTCCAACTACACATACGCTTAATGAGTAATAACACTCACAAAAACACATTTACAAAAACACTACAGACACACACAATTCCCCTCTAAGAATCTCTGCCACCTCCATGCTCTCCATAGGTATGCAGTGTACCTTTCCAGATTGTTTTTTAAACACGCTTCTAACTGTACTATACTCATGGAAAATGTGTAACACGTGTAAAAATGGCATCATACTTGACATTCTCATTTTACTTTGCTTATGCAAACTCTCTAAGAATCTCTCTATGCCACAGGAAAGCATGAGGTAAAGTGAGGACTGAGAGATTTGTGAAATAGCAGAGCAGGAAGTCTGGGGAAGGAATCTGAACAGCTTAACTAGTAAGAATCACAAGTCAGAAAATGACACAGGTTTCATAGCTAGACACAGTACAAAAACCAGGCCAGGAGCTAAGACCTGGGTATATAGTTAGTACCTATTAATCCTATGCTAACAGCACATAAAAAATTGAAAGGATATGCACAAGCATTTGTGGACAGTAGATATGGGCAGAAGAATTATAAAATACATTTTATTTTAAAATGTGTGATTTTAAGATCTTTCTACTCCTCTACCAAAAGTTTGTTTTATTTGTTCACTCAGTGAAAACTGCTGAATTTAAAAGAATAAAAACAGTCAAACTACATTCTACAAATATTGATACTAGTAGTAAATTATAATGAAGGAATTGGTAAACAAAGAGGAGAGTAAGTAAAGACTTCTACACCCTGGCTCTAACTCCCCCACAGAGCAGAAGTGGAGGAGAGAAGGCAAGCCTCAATGGAAATTGCTGCCACATACTTGTAATACTGCCCAGTGAAGTGCCGTGGTAGATTAAGGTAAATCAATTCTAAGTTACCTGAATCAAAGGCAAGCAGTTCTTGGGTTTTCCCAGGGAAGCATAAAAATCTTACAACACAAGATGGCACTCTTACTTTAAAAAAGGCTACACAATACTTTAGAGGGGAGAGAAGAATAAGCACCTTAGAAATCATCTAATTCCAAAAACCCCTCATTTTCCTCTTCTGAGGAAACAGCACGCAGAAAGATTTCCAAAGGCCACACAGCTGGTTAGAACAGAGCGTGGCTCAGGGAGAACACCCAGAGCTCCTTCTATCCAGGCTCCTGAATCAGAATAAAAGTTGGAGCAGATGGGAGCTAGTGTTAAATGGTGCCATATACTTTTCATTAGCAGAGTGCAACTTTATTTGTAAAATGCTGTGCATTTCCAAAATACTAATTGCACCATTTCATTTTCTCCACTCATGTTTTACTTTAGCATTTCAAGGTAACTGTTTGCTTTCCAGCGTGCAAAGTGCTAGGTGCCAAGTCTGTCGGATTCGTTCTCCTACAAAATAGTTTCAACAACATTAGGTACTATGTCTTCTATATCTAAAGAACTAGATAGAGATAGGATGGAACCAAAAAGGTCTAGCAAAACTATGTTAGAGAAAAACAGCATGAAATTTACAAATAAAACTATTGGTAAAACTAAATACCAGTTGATAAGCTAATATAAGCAAAAGCAGTGCATGGGAAATCATGACAACAGGGTACTTAAGTCCTAAGTTTGTATTAAATTCAGTAAATAAGAAATAATCTGGGTCTTGCCTTTATTTGTAAAATATATTGAATAAATCTCATTCTACCTCTCAAATTTCGTTTTTTGCTTTTGTTTTTTTTAATCTGTCATTTGTGGGGCTTGAACTCAGGGCCTGGGTGCTCTCTTACTCAAAGCTAGTGCTCTACCACTTTAAGCCACAGCTCTACTTCTGGTTTCCTTGTGGTTTATTGGAGATAAGAGTCTCATGGACTTTCCTGCCTAGGCTGGCTTTGAACCCCAATCCTCAGATCTCGATTTCCTGCGTAGCTAGGATTACAGGCGTGAGCCACCAGCACTCGGCTTCATTATATTTTTTGAAGCCCACTATTCTAATATCTTCTTTGGACTTTTTCACCACATCAAAAAAGTTTCAAAGTTCTTTTAATTAATTATTTTTTTTAAATAATTCTTCTCAGCCAGGCGTCGGTGGCTCACACCTGTAAACCTAGCTACTCAGGAGGCTGAGCTCTGAGGATCATGGTTCAAAGCCAGCCTGGGCAGGAAATTCTGTGACACTCTTATCTTCAATAAACCACCAGAAAACCCGAAGTGGCTCTGTGGCTCAAGTGGTAGAGTGCTAGCCTTGAGCTGGAGAGCTGAGGGACAGCACCCAGGCCCAGAGTTCAAGCCCCAGAAAGGACAAAATAAAAAAAACTCCTTCTCTAGGTTACAAACAAGACACATGTTCCACAAGATTCCTCAAGATTTACAGTTTTGTCATGTTTTTCTCCCAGAGTTTTGTCTCTGGACAACTATACATACTTAGTTAACTGGTTATCAAAAATAAAGGTTTCAAACTCCTAACTAACCATTTTGATTTTGGATTCCATTTTCTTAAGTTATTATAAACTTTTAATATTTCTATTTGAGAATTTGATTAATATAACAAACTAGTAAGAAAATTCCAAGGCATCTGACTTCCAAGTGCTAAATTACTTGGAAGAGAAAAGATACTAATTGTCCAAGAGTATGGCCAAAAAAGTATAAATTTGGGTTAGGAGAAAAATGAAACATTTTTGAGGAAGGCACCCTTTTTGTTTTCTTAAGGGGCCACGTAAGAATGAACAAGAAAAGAAATTGTATCCTTATGTTTTCTAGAATGAAGTAGGCTACTATAAGTTGTATCAATTACTGGAGGTAATTTTAAAAACTATTGTTATATTACTGTCATACAACCTACTTTTGATTTGTAAAAGCTGGGTGACAAGTGTGGGAACTTGGCAAAAAGAATGTCAGAAGTAAGGAGTTGGAACTAGACAGTCTCTAAAATAGTACAGAATTTCTTTGGAACTCATAATCCCATTACTCAAGAAAAAAAATATTTCATAAAAGTAAAATAAATGACTACTGATTTACCACTTAACTTTGAAACAAAAAAGTCACTGTTCTTGGGTTTTATTTTGTTTTTATTTTTCCATATTTTTGTTGGTTATGGGGCTTGAACTCAGAGCCTGGGGGCCATCCCTAAGCTTGTTTTTTGCTCAAGGCTAGTGCTCCACCACTTTGAGCCACAGCACCACTCTGATTTTTTTTTTCCCCCTGGTGGTTAATTGGAGATAAGAGTCTCAGGAATTTTCTGCCTAGTCTGGCTCCAAACCACAATCCTCAAATCGCATACTCCAGAGTATCTATAATTACAGGTGTGAGCCACCTGTGCCCAGCTTGGGACATACAATACTATACTATACTATCTATACTATACTATACTATTTATACTATAGTATACTTAACACAGTAAACACCATTTGCCAACCATTCAATGCTCCAATAACAGTATATTATTTAATAAAATGATTATATGAAATCAGTATTTTTCATTTTATATATGTGTGTGTATACACACACACACACACACACACACACACACACACATATGAAACTATAGCCTAAAGAAGTTAAGAATCTTACAAAGTCACTGCAAGTGAAATTAAAGGCTGTAGTTCAGTTGTAGAACAATTGTGTAGCACATGTGCAGCCCTAGGTTCAGTCCTAGTGCTACAAGGATCGGATAATAAACTCATCTGTCTAATATTAAACTCCATTCTCTGCCAAATTACCTATAACTATGTAAGATGCAGCATTAGTTTTAAAAGATGCCAATAATCCCAGCACTTGGGGAGGCTGAGGCATAAAAATTGACAGTCTCAGGCTAGCCAAAAATCTAAACAATACTTTTTTTTGAATCCTACTAGAACAGTATTTGCAACTGGAAAGATTGAACTTAGATCTTTTTCTTAAATATTGTATTATCTTTACGTAGTTGTACAAAGGAGTTGCCAGTTAACAAGCAGTTTATGAATACTTCATAGAGCATCAAAAATCAGATAAAGACTTCAAAGAGCAATTATGAATACTGTACTTCAAAGAGCATCTTGATCAATGTCACCCTTTCAACGTTCTCACCCATCCCTTCTAACTCACCCCTCCCTCATTTTTCTTAATTTTGAAGGATATACATGAATTCCTGAGTGGATTCTCCCTGCTTTCTCCTCTGTCTTGCCCACTCCCCACACACCGAATCCACCCCTTTTTCTTTTTCCAAGTGAAAAGGTCTTACTTATCTAAAGATAGTCTCATAATCAATACCATTAGTTATTTCCAATAAATTATTTTCCATATAGTCTTTGTAATGTAATATTTCATTCTCATAATTGGTTGTTTGGTTTTGGTTTTTTGTTGTTGTTGTTGTTGTTGTTTTGCTGCTGCTGCTATTGATGTTTTATACTAGTTTTCCTATTTAGAATAACCTGTCTAAAATATTGTAGTTCCTTCAAATCCCAATCTATCACTTAACACTTTATACAATTAACCCACACATAACTGAATTTTTAGAAGAACTATTAAATATCAACATAATTCTCTTACAACTTTGAACAACTATATATGTTAACTTTTAGGTTCAAATCCTTGTTTCTTTATTCAATGCCACAGATTTTCAAATAGAGTTAAAGGTCTGAGCCATTCTAAATCAAGTCTGGGATTAAAAGAATTCCTCTATACTCTCCCTCCTCAAGCCTACCCTTTAGGTAAACTGCAAACTGAACACCTTATGTTATACTGCCCTAGGCCTTCTTCTCTATAAAATAGATGGGGATACAAAATCGTACTTCACTTGATTAAATGAAATTTCACAAAAACAGCCACACATATTAGAAACATAGAAAGTACTTAACACTAAGGAACTTCATTTTTTCTATTCCCTTCTTGTACACACATAGTACTAAGCACACAGAAGAAATTTTTATACTTGGTGACATGACTTTCATACCCGTCTCTTTTGTGCTTTTGATATCCGAGGTGGTTGATTCTCAATTACCAGGTGTGAAATGTTAACGGCAATAGAATCTATCTGAAGGAAACAAAAAGCATAAAAAAATATTTTAAATTATCAAAAATATTAGCTTACTAGTCATCACTGAAAATCACAAATACATCCAATCCTACCTTTTGCATTTCAGCAACAGCAACATTTTATTACATGATTTTATCTACTTTCTCTAGTTTTATGAAATAATTTCCCAGAATCCCAAGGAACTTCATGCTAGTTCTTCAAAGCTAAAGCTCATCTTGCATGCCCATCTGTCTTCCTTCTAACTACTCCATTCACTGCGGATTTGCTCTCTGAATGTTGACAGTACATAGAAATCTTGTCTTTTTTTTTAGTAGAACAGACCCATAGAGCTTTTAGTAATTTCAAGCAAATCGGACTTCAGAGCAAGAAAAATAATCATGAATTAAACAGACATTTCATAATAAAAAAATTAATAATACATATATATATATATATATATATACGTATGCAAGATGTAAAAAGCTTTAATTCACCTGTGTCCAGTAAACTACCAAATGTATAAGAAAAAAATGACAGAACTACAAAAAGAAATAGATTCTTTACAATACCTAGAAATTTCAGCATCCCAGTTAGTAATTGAAAGGGCCAGCAGGTGGAAAATGAGTGAAGGCGTATTTAGACTGAAGAGGACAAGTTAACTGAATACAATTAACACGTATTGTACAAAACAATACCAGAACACAAATCATCGGCAAGCTCAGTGGAACCAGTACTGTAGATCATTTCTGCACTAGAAACCGCATTTTCACAAATTAAAAAAATAGAAATCAAGTCAAATGTGCTCTAAAACAACAGTGAAATAAAACTAGATATTAATTACAGAAAGCAAAGCAGAAAACCCCTAAATATTTGTTGAGCCAGAACATTTTTTTCATTTTCCTTTAAAAAAACAGTATTAGCATAGAAGAATTGTACAAAGAGATTTCATTTGGGATGTTTACAGCATGAATATAATAGACACTGATGAAAAATAGAAAACATACATTCTTCTTTATTGACATATATGGCACGTCACATATATGCCATGCCACATGTCAGGTTATGCTGCACATGCCATGTGTAATGCATGCCCACATGTCATATATGTCAGGTCATATCGTGTAATACATGCCATAACTGCCACATATGTCACACATGTCATATGTCATGTGGGTCACATAGAATGGCTGTCACATGTGACATCTGTCACATAAGAAATCTAAATCTTACTCTGCCTCAATTCATTTCTACCAACCTTAAATGGGGTAACACAGTCTTTTCTCCATTTTAATTATCTAGAACACGATGAGTCCAATTTCCCGATCATTTCCTTCCTACAAAACTGAGACCTAGCCAGGAACTGCTGGCTCGAGTCTGTAACTCTAGCTATTTAGGAGGTTGAGATTTGAGAATCAAAGCTAGAAGCCAGCCCCGGCAGGGGACTCTCTGAGACTCTTATCTTCAACTAATGACCAAAAAGATAGCAATAGAGCTGTGGCTCAAGTGGTAAGAGCACAAGCCCTGACCAAGGAAAGCTTAGGGTCAGGGCCCACGTCCTCAATTCAAGTCCCAGGCTCAGCACCAAAACAAAACAACAAAAACCAAAACCAACTACGACCTTCAAGCAGAAACATATTTTATTTCTAAGATCATTCAATATTACAAGCAGTCCTAATCCTCAAAAGCTAACTGTGTGTTTGTTAAAGAAAAAAACAAAGTATACTAGTCTTCTATTAAGGTAAGCAACTAGCATTTTGTTACTATAATGATGTTAAGCTAGCTTTCAGAATGATACATGAGAAAAATAACTCAAAGCCTTTAATTCAAGGAGTCCCTAAAAATGCTATATCCCCAAGTGATAAAAACATAAAACTATATAAAGACTTCTAAGGCCAATTATTAAGTTTACTGACATTAGGAATCTTACGATTTTTTTGTGGATGCTGCTAAAATTCACAGCCATATTAATACATTTGGCAGGACAGAAAGGCATGGGAAAAACAAAAAAGCTATGATATAAGAATTTAGGTAGGTGTCAACAAGAAAACAAGTTAGTAAAAGTGAAAAGAATGGGAGATTTTATTTTAACAGACTATGTAAAGTTCAAGATTTAAACTATTTCCCTTGGAAACCTTGGAAAGAAATCTCAAATTTGAAGTCCTAAAAAAGCAAATAAAACTATCTTGCTAATAAGAAAGATAGGATGATAATTAGGAATACCACAATTGTGAAAACACAATCCTTGTTTGCTGAGATTAAGTACTGCAAAAGCAAGAAAGGCTAGGATCTTAATAACTGGCTAATACAGTTAAAGAAATTCAACCTATCATTTATTATAGGACCATTGTAATCAGTACAGATAAGCTGTTTCCCCTGTTAACAGCAGACCCAAAATAAAACAATGAAATTTAACTGTGGCAGATAAGACTTCATACAGATATAAGAAATCTCTAGGGCTGGGAAGGTAGCTCAGTGGTAGAGCGCTTGCCTTGCATGCATGAGGCCCTGGGTTCGATTCCTCATCACCACATAAGCAAAAAGAAAAAAGCCAGAAGTGGTGCTGTGGCTCAAGTAGTAGAGCACTAGCCTTGAGCTGAAGAGCTGAGGGACAGCGCCCAGGCCCAGAGTTCAGGCCCCATGACTGGCAAAAAAAATAAAAAAAGCTAGAAGTGGAGCTGTGGCTCAAATTGTGGAGAAAAGGGGACAGTGCACAGGCCCTGGGTTTAAGCCCCAGCGCCAAAACACAAAAAAATAAAAATAAAAGATCTCCAATAAAAATGGAGTAAGAACAGGATACCAGGGGTTCATGCCTATAATCCTAAATCCTAACTACTTGGGAGCCTGAGATGGGGAGGACTGCGGCTCAAGATCAGTCTAGGCATACACTTGAGGTCTTCTCTCAACCAATAGGTAGGTATAGTAATGCATGCTTGTCATTCCAGCCACATGGAAAACTGACATCAGAAGGATTGCAGTTTCATGCTAACTTCCACAGAGAAGTCTATAAGACTAAACTCAACAGAAGCTGGGTATGGTGGCATACATATGTTGTCCCAACTGTGAAAAGTGCAAAAATAGAAGGATCATGGTTCAGGCACACATCAGGCAAGTTGCAAGACAGTATTTCAAAAACAACCAGCACAAAAAAAAAAAAGTGGCTAGAGGCACAACTCAGTGATACAGTTCCTGCCTAGCAAATGTAAGGTGCTGAGTTCAAACCTCAGTACCACAAAAAGAAAAAAAAATAAGAGTATGGCTATATGAACCTTCATCTCCAAAACACATTACACTATACAAAGCTACAATGTAATTCAGTAAGCATGAAATGATTCTGATTTTCAATTTTGTCTTTGGCACTTAAGAACTGTTATTTTTAAGACAAGTTCTTAATTTCTCTAATTCATTTCCCACTGGGAAAGTGTGATTATCTTCTACTTCACAGGAAAGACCTTACAGTGTTACCAAGGAGTAAAAGACATAGTATGTTAAAGTGCTTGCCAATCATGTATTACCTACGATGACAAATACCGGTTAAAATAATGACAGTTAACATGCTCCTGTCTACTCATTTACATCACTTACTAGACAGACCTTGATCACCAAGCACTTTAATGACTTTAAAATGTTCTTACATTTGTGTTCCCTTTTGGTTCTTACAAGATCTGTGTAAACAGCAAAAACATTTGTGTCATCATTATCTGCCAGGAAAATTATGCACAGAAGGACTGAGTAACTTTGCCAGGTTACAGTCCTATTCACTGGCAATTCTAGGACTACAAGTCTGATCTTCCAACTTTCATTTGCAGATAAAGTACTGTACTTTCTTTGCTGATCTCCCTTACAGAAACACACTGCCACACATAAGTTAATGAAAGTGATGTTTGAGCATGTTGGAATGACTTCATTCCCCTACTCCTTTGATAATATATATAATAAACAGCTTAACCGAAGTAACCACGTGTATTTAGATATTACAGGCAACGACAACATCATTCCACACACCTCATTCTCTTTAGAAGCCAGCTTCAATTGCTCTAGTTCCTCTCTATGTTTCTGTTCCATTTCTTTTTCCAACTTAGCAACATCTTCGGTGAGTTGCTTCCTCCTCTTTTTGTCATTCTTGGGAACAGCATTCTTCATGCTTTGAATTTTTGCTAAAAAGCCACCAAAGGCATAAAAATTAGAAACTCGGGATTAACAGAAAAGGAAAGAAGAACCAGTAAGGGAAGAAAGACATAGGAAAAGTAGTTACATAGATGCAAGAAGTGTGAACGTTACAACAATGGAATAGCTACCAAACACTTCATTCATAGAACCATGAATCTGTTCGTTAGAGGAAGAGAATGGGGAAGGGGAGCGGATGAGACAAACAAGTTTTCAACGTGTCAAGTACCTTCGAAACCCTCCGAACTAAGGGAAGCAGATACAAAATGCACCCGCTGGGGCGGCCCGCTGGGGCAGGCACGGGAAGGGGGGAACTAGGCGGGGATCGGTCCTCGGGGGGGACCCAGGCCCGGCCGGCCGGCCGGCGCGGGGCAGGAGGCGCGCGGCGGGGCTCAGCAAAGGACGGCTGCGGGACTAAGGGGCCGCGGGACGGGGGCAAGCGGGCGGATCCGGGAGGAAGACCCGGGGATCCGCACGGCCCGCCGGTCGGCGGGGCCGAGGAGGGTCACCTTGCAACTCCTTCTTCTCCTTGCGATGGCGCCTCGCCAGCTGCTCCTCCTCGTCCAGATCCTCGGCCGGGTCAGCCTCCATGACGACCGGGGCCGCCGGGCACACGCACCGGCGGAGGGCACACGCGGCGGCGGGGGAGAGCCGCACCACCGACCAGCAAGCACCTCCCACCCCTCAACCCTCACCCGGGGCGCCATTGGCCACCGCGGAGCCCCAGCCCCGCCTTCAAGGCGGCACCGGATCTGAGCCGGGCCTCGGGACCGAGGTGGAGGCGGAGTCGAGAGCTGCGCGTGAGCGCTCCCGCGAACCCCCGCCCCTCGGATTGGGCGGGGCGGCCAGGGAGGAAACGCGAACCAGCGGCCCCGCCCCGCGGTGATGACTGACAGGTCGCCTCAGCCCCTTCAGCCAGGGCATTGGATCTGACGGGAGGCGCGCGGAGATGACGTCATGGGAAGCGCCGGGGGGAGTCTTTTCGATTTGGTTTCCGGATTCGAAAGATGGAAAGTGGTTTAGCTTTTGACTGTCTTTGCTAAGGAGAGCTATTGAAAAGATAAGTAAGGAGGAAGGACTTTTAATGAACAATAAAGCGGTGGGCTGTCCGCAGAGGTCTTTGGGCGGCATCAGGTTCAGCGTAGCCAAGCTCTTCCTGTTCAAGGGCGCTAGGCTCTGCTCAATTTGGGGAGATGCAGCAGAGCCAAGGAAAGGGAAAGACGCCTCGTGTGGTCACGGAGATGGTAGCCGTGGACGCGGGAGAGACGGACGGACGGTTGGCCGTGTGGTGTGATGCAAGGGCGTGGAGCCCTCCGGCCCGGAAGCTTCCGGGGGGTCGAGTGACAGCAAAGTGTAGGCCGGGCGGGCACAAAGTCAGATTATTGCAGTGGCGTGTTCACAGAAATCGGAGCGGGACGGGGAAGGAGGCCAGTGTAAGAGGAGGAAAACACAACCACATTGCCTGAGACGGGTCAAGGTCAATGAAGCTGATCCTGTAATGAAGGAACCACCTGAACAACATTCACAGTTAAAACGAAAGAGGCCTCCAAAATGGGAAAAGCCCCCGCCGCACCTTTAAATTTAACGAAAGGAGAGCAATACGTAGAAGTCTGGCTACGTTTTAAACTTAAAGGGTCAAAAAAAAAAAAAATGACAAGCTGGATCCAGGCAGAGAAATCAGCAACATATAAAAGAACAAAAGTCAGGCTGACCTCACATCTATATCTTGCAGTTCTAAGTGTCAGAAGACAATGGGTTCCTAGAGTTTTAAGGAAAAATTGTTGAACCAAGAATTATATACCTTGTCAAGTTACTATTTCTGTATGCAGGAAACTGGAAAGCAAGGCTTAAGAATGCCCACCAAGAATCTTTTCCAAAAACTTTTCTGAAATGGTCATGCAGCCAGCAGAGAACATGAAACAAAACAACTGGAGTAGGAAATTGTATAAAAGAACAATAAGCATGAAAGCTAATTGGGGCATTACATTTAATTGCTATATTTAGGGCAGTAAACCGATTATATGACGGGTTTTTAAATGATGATTTTTATAGTTTTGGAGGGATTTTTGTTGTTCTTTGGTATTTATGAAAGTGTTCTTGAATTTTAATTCTTCTGTCCCTGCCTCCTAGAGATTACATGCTTGTATTACTCACCCTGTGTTATGTAGTCCTAAACTGAAAGGTATGCCAAATATTCAGTATACTGGGAAAATACTGCTTTATTTTTATTTATTTATTTTGGTCGGTCGTGGGGCGTGAACTCTGGGCTTGGGTGCTGCCCCTGCGCTCCTCAGCTCAAGGCAAGCGCTCTACCACTTGAGCCACAGCGCCACTTCCGGTTTTTCTAGTGGTTTTTCTAGTGGTTTATTGGAGATAAGAGTCTCACGGCCTTTCCTGTCCAGGCTGGCTTTGAACCGTGAGCCTCCTGAGTAGCTAGGATTACAGGCGTGAGCCACCGGCGCCCGACGCTTTTATTTTTTAACATGTAAGTAGTGTGGAGAAAGATTCATGTTGATAAGCTTTATGTGGAGAAAGATTCATGTTGATAAGCTTTATAGAGCTTCATGACTGGATAGGGAAAGTATAATAAAGATATGCTAAATGTTAATATGACAAAAATAGAAAACTGTGCTTGTATTTTGTTTAACTGAGGGGAAAACTGGTAGTGTAATCATCTTAATGTTCATATTGTAAAAAGAAAACATTCAGAATTCAAAAACACGATAAAATATTTTAAACCGAGAACTGTTGGTTCACACCTGCAATCCTGCGTATTTAGGAAGTAAGATTGAAGGACTGTAGGTCAATGCCAACCAAGGCAGACTACTCCATCTCGGGAAGCATGGTCAAGTGATAGAGCTCAACCTGAGCAAATATAAGGACTTATGTTCAAACCCTATGCAAGCAAATATATATATATACATATATATGTTATATACAAATATATTACATTTAGGAAATTTTATATAGAAATAGCATAGGATTGATATGTAAGACCAATGCTCCTGTCTTTATATGCTGGCAAACAAGTTAATAATCCTTCATCTGAAGACTCTTAACTTTAGTGCTTATTGCCTCACACTTCATAATGAAATGCTTCATCACTTTGACATGCCTCTCTTTTTGCTTTTAGTTGTTTTTCAAATAGTCTCAGACTTGTTGCTCAGGTTTTCCCCCAAAGTGCAACCTTCTAAACTCTACCTCCAGAGTAGAAGAGGTTAGTAAATATTAAGAGTAGAAGAGATTAGATCATAAACATCATTCATGTCTAAGAGCTAGAGTACTTGAGAGGAATGTATATTAGTCTCTTAATTTATTTAATATTAGAGTCTTCATTACATTTTTCACATTATCCTGAAGAATTTCTACATGATTTTATGAGGATGCAAAGAAAATTTCTAGAAAGTACAAATAACCACATTAAAAAAGAGCCACTAGGAAATACTAAGTTTAAACACACACCCCCCCCCCCAAAAAAAAATGTGTACCTGGAATTTTTTAGACTTTGGATCAAAGAGGAATTTATAAGGAAAGTCGATTGTTTAGGAAAAACAAAAAGGTGTACTTTATATGCTATGGGATGAATGTGAAGAATAAGACAGGAAGGAGAGTGAAAAATATCAGGACCAAATCTGATTTCAAGACTATAATTTTTACTTTGCTCCACACCACTCATAAAACTGTTATGAAAATAAAATAACTTCTAATTTGTATGACAAAGAAGACTGAAAATACTGTCTCATGGAGAAAAAATGAGCATCACTTGTATTTTGAGGCAAGATATAACAATCATATTTGTAGAAAGGTCATACAGAACCAAGTCCGAGATGTTAAGATAGGAAATGCACAATTAAATTTGATTAGAAAGTGATATTGAGGCCTGAGAAATTAGCATAAAAATAGAATAATATGAAAAAAGGAAAGGAGTTTAAAGCTGAAGGAATATCTACAAGACAGCATGAGAGAGGAATAAAAGAGTTGCACTTCTTAAGCCAAGCCCAAAGAAACATAGGTCCCATGGTTTCCCTTATTTGCAATATCTAGTATATGTATGAGTCAAGCAGGAAAGGTCAGATAATGTGATGTTAGGAAAATGAACCCTTAGATATGTATTTAAATGTTTTTTTCTTTCATGCATTTGTTTCTAACTATAAGATTATTTCTTTGTAGCTTTGTATGTTCCTCCCCCACAGCATAACCCCTGCTTTCACTATATTTGATATCAGTACAATTTGTGGAGGAGATGGGGAAAACAAGTCGTTTAAGGATACAGGTGGACCCGATGCAACTATGAGAAGTACAAGTTGTCATGTCAAAAACGAACTTTACAACTTTGGTGGGGGGGGAGATGGGGGTCAGGGGGAGGCTGGGAAAGGATGTGAAGGGTAAACAAAGGAGAAGGCTGCAATGCTTGGTAAGAAATGTACTCATTATCTTGCCTATGTAATTGTAACCCCTCTGTACAGTATGTTCACTAAAAATAAAAATAAAAAAAAGAGTTGCAGTTCTAACTGAATTAAATACCAAAAATAATGTATTGCAATCCCATAATATGAGTAATAAGTAGCATGGACTTTTATCTTTGTGCTAGAATTTTTAATTTACAATTTGAAAACCTTTTAAAGATCTACCATGTCTCTGGCTGTTGGTGGCTCATACCTGTAATCCTAGCAACTAAGAAGGCTAAGATCTGAGGGTCAGGGTTCAAAGACTGCCTGGACAAAAAAAGTCTATGAGATTCTTATCTCCTATGAACTCAGAAAAGCCAGAAGTAGCACTATATATCAAGAGGTAGAGCAGTAAACTTGAGCCAGAGAAGCTCAGGGACAGTGCCCAGTACTGTTACACACACACACAAAACTGTACTATAACATCCACTGTTCTTTTTTTTTTTTTTTCCACTGTTCTTTTATACATTCACAAGACTCCATCTCAATAGAGGAAAGCTGGCACTGAAGTATCTACCTGTTGACCCAGAAATGATAGGGAATATAAAATCAAGCCCAGGCAGGTAGCAAGACACTGTCTTAAAAATTAACAGCACAGAAGGGGGGGACCAAGATGGCGACGGGGCAGTAGGGAAACGCCACAGCTCTCTCCAACCAAAAAGAGAGTTCGAGTTCCAACCTTTAATCTCCCCAAGAGACCAACAACAACAAAAAGACGAACACTCAGAGAAAAACCAGAGGTGGAAAATAACAAAAAAAGAAAGAGAGGAAAAGAAGAATTTCAGAACAGAGAAGAGCGAAGACCCCTCCCCCAACCTTTACTGGCCGCGCGGCAGTGCGCCAAGCCGCCGGCCAGCCGGCCCGGCAGGGGCTGCCGGAGCCACAGAGACACAGGGGGCTGCTTGCAGATCACCAGGTACCGGATTGCAGAACAGCGGATCGCCAGGAACAGAGAAATCTACCAGCCGGGAGTCTCCAGGAGGATCCCACCCCACCCATCACTCTCCACCGGAGCGGAGAGGCTCCATCCTGCCAAAGCCGCCCGGCACCAGCAGTGCCACAAAGGGACCTGTCCGCAGACCACCCGCCCAATCGCGATCGCAACGACCCGGCGGGGGGCCGCCCAACCCAGCCCACAACCACCCCAACTGAACTCGGACTGCAACAACAACTGACGGACTGCAACAACAACTGACGACCTACAGGGTGAGTACCCATCAGGG